AAATCTAAGCTGAGCATTTCTCAGCAACTGTATGAAGACAGAGTGGTCAGAAAAGATGTTTTACTTCTAAAAAAACAGCAAGAGAAAAAAAAAATTAAACCCATATCTCCTTGCAGTCTTTGCTATTGTTGGGACATGAAACCTGTCTAAATCAATCCAAAGGATTGCACAAGCTAAAAAGAGCATTTCCAATCTCTTCTTCCATCTCAGTCTAGGCAAATACAGAGAGGACCCAAATTTGCCATTGGAAAAGAAGAAGTGATCAATGTACAGCATGGGTTAAAAGCCTGGAAAGGTGAATGAGACCTAACAAGTGATTTGTCCTTCTAAGGCTTCCTAATCCTGATCTAACAATATACTAGGCTCAAATTAGGTGGAACTTATGTTTCATTTAAGTTCATTTTTATTCCCCATATTTTTGTTAGAGAACCTTATATGCACAAAATCTTGAACAGAAACATTAAGATTTTCATACTGGGAATGCTTCTGCTAGATCAACTGTTCACCTAGTCCAAACCCTATCAGATGCTGTAATCAGTACTGTATGCGTCAGAGGAAGATGAAAGAATTGATCCGTCTTGTCAATAGGGAAGACATCTTGCTAATCCCCTCAGTAAATAATGTGTCTATTCTGAATCCTTATAATCTCTTTATTTTATGTAGTGTAACTGTGGACATTCTCATTATGGATACTTAATCCTCTCTAAGATGATAAACTTCCGCCCTTTGTAATATTACAGCGGCATTAAGTTCCTCATGCTCACTGTGTGTTCTGCAAAGAAGCATTTCCATTACAGATTTTTATACGAATCATATTCACCATATGACCTATGCTATATTATTGTTAGAATATGGTTCTCCTGTTCATCCTTTCTCTCCACTGTTCTTCACATTGTTTGCAGGTTCATCTACAGGTAGAATGTCCGGTGAGTTGATCTGAAGTAAATGGATGTTTTAATTAAATTTTAACAGATTAGTCTATCTAGAATGTTAAAATGGGTAAATTATACTACATTAAATCCCTGTATGGACATACACATTCAGAAGGAAAATTGTCTTAACGTAATTTAACTCACTTTGCTTCCAAACTAAATGAAGATAAATCAAATGAAAAACACTTATATTTTGAGTAACAGTATTTACACAGTGATTCAATGTAATTCATAATTTTAAATTCCCATGCTTTGTCACTTCATTTTTCTTCCCGAGTGTTCCCATGTAAACAAGTCTTCAAAAACAAGCAAGACCTTAGTTAACTCTGTGGGGATTAAGCACCTTAATTCTGATCTCATCACAATAGTCACCTCATCTTTCACATTAAAAGCTCCCTTTAATATGGCATCTAGTATAAGTAGCAAGAATTACTTTTTCTAAGAAATGCAAAAGTCTTGCCTGAGTCAGCTTCTGTCCAAATCAACGTTTAACAGAGTAAAAACTGTCAGTCTCACCAAAAGCAGCCCCATAATAGTCACAAAACAATGAATGTTTTTTAACTCCAGTTTGCATGAAGTGTGTCCACATCTCCAGAAAACCAGTGATACATTCATTAGTAATGGCAGCAGAAAACAGAGTTCACACTTCCAGTAGGCTTAGGGTGATGCTACCCTGGACTGTGACTGCACCATAAGGGTCTATACTGCACAGAAAGAAGAGTAATCCATTTTTTCAGTGAAATATGCCTGCTAAAAACAGCAATTTCAGGAGTAAATACTTGCTTCCTAACAACGGCAAGTCTTCCTCTTTAAACCTTTCATTGAATAACCCTGGATAAACCAGATAATAGAGGTGCAGTGGTGTTATGGGCGACGCTGGGTAGATGATGCCAGGAAGGGTTGGAAAGGAAAGCAAGTGTAGCCAATGGGGCAGAATGGGAGAGCTGTCACACTTTGTGTTTCTGCTTGTTAAATCTGAATGCACCTCATTAGTTATGCCTCCTGCTAACATCTCCAATGACAACGACAAGAGGGTCCCACGAATAGGTTCCCCATGGGAATGCCCACAGACAGACTTGCTGTAAACTTCAATGTCATCCCTAGGGCCCTGGTCTGCAGTGAAACCTTGCTGGTGTACATGCGTGTGTTTGTGTTAATTTTAAATAGACATGCACATACAGATAAAGGCCATCACTCGCTGCCTCTTTGGTTAAAGGTCAGGCCTACTCGCATCTGCAATACAAGCATGAGTTAATGAGTAAAAGTACAAGTAAAACCACTACCTCACCACAATTTGGTGAGTTTCCAAATTAAGGACATTTTGTTTAAATTTGTTCCACTCTGCTTTCAACTTCACAGTTAAGGTCTCCCCCAGTAGAGCCCTGTCCAAACAGATCCAAGTTACAACCATCCCCAGACTATCAGATAGGTCGAGTATGTACTCTGTCACATCCATAACGTCTAGGCATGGAGTTCTGATAAGCTTGAAAAGAGATTTAAATTACATTTCATTTTAGAATAGTATTGTATGCTGCTTCATCTAGTGGCAAACAGACATTTCAACTTTTTTGCACCTAAGACCCTCATAATACATTTTTGAAACTCAGCTGCTTGGTAGAAAGCAATCTATGTTTTCTAGGATGTTTAAAGAGAACTTGGCTGGGAAACAAATCAGAATTGAGCTGGGACTAACCAGGGTAAAGGTTGCTTATATCTGCAGATTACCCCTCTCTGCTTTTCTAATTCACTCACCATGCCTTATCTTTCCATTAATCTTTAATAAACCTTTTAGTTAATTCCCCAAACACATGCAGTCTACATGACAGCAGGATACAGTGCAAAAGCAGCCCATGGATATGAGGAAATAGGCAGCAGAGGAATCAAAATGAGGGGAAACTTTTAGGATTAAAAAACACCCAAACTGCAGGCCAGTGAAAAATTATGAGCAATAAGGAGAAAGCAGTGGTAAGGAGCAAACGAGGGAGGAGGCAGGGGCTGTAAGGGTATTAGTGTTTCTCTGGCTGTTAGATTAATTTTCTCAATGAGGCCGTCTTCCCTGTTCCACTCTGGTTCCACTTAGACAAAAACAGGCAATCTGATTTCAAACTTGGAGCTTCTGAAATGTGGAAAACCCTCTCCAGGCTGACAACAAGCATACAGCTAGATTAAAAGGTAAATGCAATTTAACCCACCCCAGCAGAAATGGTAATCAAATTATACTGCCTCTGAATATGATAAGTTTGGGGCTGGGGCCCTCAAGGGAAGAGAAGGTGTCTTGCAAACACAAACACAAAGAAACAGGCTAAAGGGAACTGCTAAATCAATGGATGAATTGTGACTTCTACCCTCCTTCCCTCCCACAGGGTGCTGGATAAGCTGCTGATTGCTTCTAAAACATCTACTACCAATGTTAGGAACTGATTAAGCAGCTTACAAAGCACTGGAGGCTAATAGACAGGCCCACCAGGGAGATTGCTGCTCTGGAGTTAAGTAGCTTGCTTTTTCATGGCTTCATTATTAAAGATGAGATAGCAGAACATGCTGAAAAAGATGTGGAAACAGATTTAGACCTCAGATGAATGGCCTTTTTATTTTATACATGGAAACAGTTCTACTATGTGACTTCCAGTTCTGGGCTCCCCAGTTAAAGAAAGATAAGAAACTACAGGAGAGTACCCAGTGGAGGGCTACAAAGATATTAGAGGACTGTAGCATCTCTCTTGTGAGGAAAGGCTGAGAGACCTGGGTCTGTTTAGCCTGGAGAAGACTGAGAACATCTTATCAATGCTTTGAAATATCTAAAGGGTGGGTGTCAAGAGGATGGGGCCAGACTCTTTTCAGTGGTACCCAATGGGCACAAACTGGAACACAGGAAGTTGCATCTGAATGTAAGGAAAAACTTCTTTACTTAGAAGGTAATAGAGTGCTGGAACAGGCTGCACAGAGAGGTTGAGTCTCCTTCTCTGGAGATACTCCAAACCTGCCTGGATGCGATCCTGTGTAACCTGCTCTAGGTGAACCTGCTCTGGCAGGAGGGTTGGACTGGATGATTTCCAGAGGTACCTTCCAACCTCTTCCATTCTGTGATTCACCACTCAACAAAAGCCACATTTCTTGTAGTACTGTAGTCTTCAGCTCTGAGTGGCATCTGAACTACCTCCACTTAAGTGTGTCAACTGGACATCCAGATCTGACTATCCTACCTGTTATCCTGCAAAAAAGGCACCACTAGATGAGGGAAACATCAGTGGAAGAAGCTCAAAATAATGTGTTTTACATATCACTGCCAACAGCATTAGAGTGTGACCACAGATGTGCCTGGGTCAGCTAGTGCATCTTACCTCATTGCTTAGTCCATTGTGCATCTGAGCACTGCAGCACATCCACCTTAGATTCCCTGTCCTCTCTTTTCAGGTCTTTCTGCCAATTTCCTTTTGTTTAATTCAGTACATAATAAAATTCTGCTGTTCAGGCAGATGTACTGCAAGGTGCTTGCTTAGTTCAATCAATATCAGTGCAATTACATGTTTGCTGGCATATTGCCTCTTCTTTGGTCCTGTCTGTCATAGTAGCAACTGCATGCTTTAAACTTTGTGTAGCAGGCTTGCTGAAGTTCTTGTGGTTTTGTTTTTTTCTGGTAGTTCCCCCCCACTTCTGTGGTAACGCCTAGCAGACTTTGTGAATAAGCATGTTGCACTGTACAAACTCACACATTCTTGAATAACAATTCTTTCAAGCAAAGAAACAACTACTTGTCACCCGTAGGCTAAGCCTTAGATTGATCAGATGAAAAAATCTATCACAGTAAAGTTCTCTTTGCAGACTACACTTTTCTTTTTCAGCAACTCTCCAGCCCCATTTCAACACTGACACTCTAGGCTTTCTCTCTCTCTCATCCCTAACTAATGCCTCTGTTAATCCATTTTTATGTTAAACTATAAACCACAGAGATGGCTTGGAAGTAAAGCCATTTATGCTACTATTAGCTAGACGTGAGAATGTACAATTAGCACTGGAGATGAGAACAGGCTTGATTCATAACAGGTAGAATTAATTGAAGAAACTTACCTGCTGAAGGTCTGCGAGAGAATAAAGATGGATTTGCTGGAGAAGATACTCTCTGGGAAAGATCCTAAAAGAGAGAAAAATGGATGTGTGTCATGCCTTTTTGACTGGGAAATTCAGAGACTCCTTCTCTCCACATAAAAACTGCAGAACAATGATGCCTGAGAGAGCTTGTCAGAAACTGGAATTGTATCACCCTGTAAGCACCAGCTACTTTTACAGCATCCCTTATGGGCACAGCAATGCCACAATAAGAATGAATGCTGTGCCAGCGTCATTCTCCAACTGTCAGGTGAGCAGGTACCATGACATTTACAGCCATTGGAAGCTCTTTCTGAGCACAGAAGGTGTTTCTTTAAACAGTTAACCCAGTAATAAAAACAAGTAACTCAAGCTATACATTAAAAGCATTTCTTATTGTTTTTAGTACAAGATTCCTGGTCTGCTAGAAAGCTGTAACTGTGATTTATGGTTTTGTAACTAAAATAGCTATACTGGGGAAAATGTCATGCAGATACTGCTCTTCCAACATAAAGCTGGTTGATATAAATTCCCTTTTGCATACAGAAATATATATATTGGTATAGACTTTATAATGACTTGTTTGAGAAAGGCCGTATTTTCCTCATATAAACCAAGGTTTCAGGCAAGACCACTGATTATCCACTGATAGATCTGTTCAGCAAAGCTAAATTACAGAAACCTGAGCAAAGAAGAGATGTTCTAATTAGAGGGAGTTGCCATAAAATGAAAAACTGGGTTAAAGTTACAGAGAAAAACAGACCTTGTAAGGGTAAGTGGTTATTAGCAAGAAAATGTTATGAAAACCTATTTCTCTGTCATAAAGATGTCAGGAAGGGAAAAAGTGCATCTAATAAAAAAATATCTATCTGTGTGCACACGCAGAGAAACAACCAGCCAAACAGCTTTCTTTTCCATCCATACAGAACAAATACACCACCATACTAAGGTACCGTGGGGAGTGGAAAATCACATCACTCTTCCAAAAAAAGCAACCAAATCTCTCTCAAGAGGTGCAACTATTCTATACCACATGGTGCTTAGAGAAGAAAATGTGAACTCAGTTCCTACATTACAATCATGTAGCTTTAAGGCAATACAGAAGCTAAATTCCTGATATTATTAAATGCATGAACAGAGCTCTGCCAAAGACTGGTTTGTAACGGTAGAACAGAATGACAGTGAACAGAAAGACCACTGGATGTTCAAAAAACCAAAGAGACTGAAAGGCCGATATGAACGTACATGATCATGACATGACACTAATGACAAAGTACATAGGAACACAAAGAAGAGATCTGAGAAGCCGTGACAACATAATGAGCTAAAACACAGCTCGGCACAGATAACAGTACCAACTGCAATCTTCAACAGAACACTGAATCTAAGAAATAACAAAAGCACTCCCTTAGCTGTCTTACACAGCTATCTTAAACTGATGATTTCAAAGCTGTCTCGGAGGGACTAGGACTTTTCACTGGTGCTAAGGTGAGGGGTACAAAGTCTCGTACTTCTTTTGTACTTTTGAAAAAAAATCTAAGTTTTATTGGGGTGCGAGGGGAAGAGTCCTGCAAGCAAGGCACTGACAACTGGGCGCTGCCAATCTTACAGCACTCTTCTGGAGCAGGACTGTGCCCTTGCTCCTTCTGACTCACCAAGCATGTCTGCTCTGCCAGTCTCACTGGGACGCTGCATTTTTCCCCTTTTAGTTCTGTAGGCTATACCACTGCTTCTACTAGAGATGAACATGTTTCAGTGGCTCTGCTGCATCACACCTTCATAGTACACTTGGCATAATGTCAAAGACCACTAGAAAACAGTCAAAATCCAGGTATCAAACAACATATGACACTGGGATTCCTCATTTGCACATAGAAGACTTACTAAAATTGATTGCTAAGAAGTCAACTCTGAACAGCATTTTGAAGCCATTAGTATTTTTCACCTCTAATTGATGAGGAAATTTTAATGAAAGAAATTCTTTCTCCCCTGATCACACAGGCAGGCACTAAGCTTTGCCAGGAAATGTATTCTTTGCCGATGCCCTTACAGCACTGCTGAGGAAAATAATTAGCTAATGAAAGATTTCCTTTTTCAGGAAATAGCCTGAATAGCCATAAGGCAGAAACTGTCAACGACTAATATCGATGACTAACATCACGTTCCCCTGCCTTCAAGGTCTGCATTTTATTTCCTGCAAGTTCTAACTCCTAATAAAATGTGTGCAGATGAAATGCAAACTCATGATCGAGGGACTCCCTTTGTCAGGCCCTGGTGACTGTCATCCTCTCCCTGTACCTGTCCCTGAGATATGTTAGTTTGCAGCAGCAGCAGCTCTGCAACATCTAACACTCTTCCTCCCTTCCATATCTATTTCCAGGAAAAGAAGTAGGCACTGCCCTCCCAGTCTTATGCAAGACAGATAGACACACGCACTTACTTAGCGCTCAAGTGAGGAATGCTTATTTCCATTGCTATGGAAACTGAGGCATTAGAAAACCCTCAGTAAGTAAGGCTGGTTCAGCTTCAGATTTGCAGTCCTTCCATTGTCTTGAAAAATCACAATTTGGTTGTGGTGGGCCACAGTAAAAAGCTGAGCAGCCAGAGCACACACATACAACAGCATTTACAAAATTTCTTATGAAGCAACCAGACCAGTTCCTGTATGGTTCTCAATACATGTGGAGGTACAAAACTCTTCCACAACATCTGCAAATGTCACCAAAGGTGGAGAGCATACAGGTCCATGAGTATTAAACTACTGAAACAGCCTAAAAGTAGGCAGCTCAGCCCCTGATCGTTTAAAATATAAATGATACACCCTCACTACACTTGTGGTGAACTGAGCAGCTGTTTCAAAAACACATCTTGCTGTGCTGCACATCTGGAATTGTGATCTCCTCCAGAAAATGTCTATTAGTCCCACTTGGAAAGAAAATGCAAAACTAAACAGCTACCTCAACATAACTTGTGATGCCACCTCCCAAAAATGCATCTCTTTATGACCAGTTTTGACACCCTCTAGTGGGTGGGCAGAAAGAGCATAAGAGACATCAAAATACCAAAAAACTGCAGAACAATGATGCTAGAGAAAGCTTGCCAGAAATTGGAATTATGCCACCCTGTAAGCACCAGCCACTTTTACAGCATTCCTTATAGGGACAACGTAACAAACTCAAAACACATTTTCAAAAGACCTCATCATAAAATGCAAGCAAATCAGTTGGGGCAGGAAATCTACACAGACCAAGTAGTCCAGTGAGCAAGAAAATGAATCACGGCTGGTTTCCCACGGCTTGCTGGTCTGCACAGGTTCTCTGGGCCTAGTGAGGTGATGGCTTTATAATAAAGCCTTTTTCAGTAGGGGGCACACAGGACTAATGCAGAGCCTCTTGCTTCTCAACCCAGACACTACCTCTCATTTGAGTAGTAGGAATGTAACATCTTTGCCATCTTCATTCCCCTGTCAACTGCAACTTAAATTAGCCAAAGGAAGCCAAAGTACAGCAGGTGAGATGGGGCTCCCATCTGCATAAACACCATGTCATAGTGTTAGCATCCAGATCAACCTAGAACCTCATTCGTGTCTAAACATTTGACACAGACCACAGACCATATTAAGACAACTACAGTTAGAAACATTTCACTAGAAAATACATATTTACTTTCTGCATGAGATGGAGCTTTGAGCATGCTTGGGTTAATATAAGGCTTTGATCCAAAAAGACTGAAACATGTGCTTGCATTTTATTTTTCCCTTGATAGAAAGGTCCTTTACAAACGCTAAATGGGAAATCTCTGGTAAGTTATTTGAAAGCAAAACAAAAGGTGTCAGTTTTGTAAATCTTTTGACTGATGCACTCTAATGAACTGATTTTTTTTTAAAGTTGGTCAATTAAAAGCATTCAATAAACAGTGTCCTTTCAGACAAATCTTAACACAGAAAACAACTAGAGTGAGCTAGACAGAGGTCAAACGCAAGATGTTAAGACTCATCACAATAAAAACTCAAACCTCTGCTGCTTCAGAATGTGACCTGTGACCCTTGAGAGGCAAATGGCACCGAGTGCATGCTCCACTAAAAGCACCTCCTAAGCTTTCACAGTTTGGAAACTCCCGGACCAGTTTCACCATCGAGGCAAAACAGAAGAGTTGTGAGTCACAGGATTGCTGTTCTGGAAACCCTGGTCACCAGTCAGGGTTAAGCCTGCAAGGAACAAACCAAGTTCAAAGCTAACCAGCCCTCTGGCTTTGCCAGCTCCTGTGAACAATGATTGGTCCTGTTGGTTAAAGGTCTCTAAATTGCTTTATTGTTCTGTGCTAGAAACAAAAGCAATCAACACAAACAGAAAAGACGACTTTTGATCTAACCAAAAAAGAGAACTGAGCATTCTCAGTTTGTGATTATTATTCTTTTTTATTTGATACTTTGTAATCTGAAGCATAACCTTCAGGCAAGATAGAACCAGAAATTTAATCCGTTCCCTTTCGGATGATCTTATCAGGTAAGTATTTGCACAAACAAGGGTTATCTTTTAGTGTCCTTCTGCAAACAGAACCACTGATAAGAGTTTGCTTTTTGCATTTGGACGAAGTGTGTAGTCATGGTGCTTTGTTAGCACTAAGTAATTGCTCTGCATTTAAAGCCTGTTTATCATCGGCTTAGGTAATTTTTCTCCAATGGGTTAAATACCCTGACAGCTCTGCTAAAGCTACAACCAATTAATCTGCCCAAGCCTGACACTATAACACAAAGTACAAACGTGATAAACAGCACGAACTCTTCTTTTTACAGCCCAACCAAAAGAAATAAGTTAGCTGGCAGGTGGGCACAACCAAGTCTGTTTTGTACCAAAAAGCCTGCTGAAACCTAGGACGGGAGGAGGCAAGGAAGCTGGCACCATGATTTCATGTGCCAGCCAGGAGTGTCTTGTTTGACCAGGTTGAGAATGGTATGACTGAGCTCTGACTCACAGGAGACGCAGATGCACCAGTCCAGCACGCAGCCACTCAGACGTCCCCTCCACCCCTCTGCAGGAAGCTGCT